TGTGTGTGTGTGTGTGTGTGTGTGTGTATGTATGTGTAAAGGCTTGGAGACAGAAGATATGTTTAAAAGGGATAACTTCTAGGGAACATGACTTGAAGCCACAAAGTAAGACAATTGCTTTCAGTTAGATTTTGTATTTGGGGAATGACCTAGAGGAGATGGTGGGGAGCAATGGCGAGCCTTGTTCCCAGCCATCGCTCATGGTGGAGGTGCTTTCCACTAGAGTCTTATGGAGAGGGCTACTGAATTCTCTGCTTGCTTTGATCTTTTGAAAGCTAATGGATGCACTCCGTTTGATGTGTACCCTTTGATGTGGAAATGGCGGTGACAGGATGCAGTTCATCCATCTGCCCGCCCATACATCCAATAAGCAGGCTTGGGACACATGTGGCAGATGCCATCTTTCAAGGAACTCAGATAGAATCTGGTCACCTCTGGGCTCTAAGCACCTTGTTCTGGTTTATCCCATTAGTCTAGACAGTACCCTTGTTATTAAACACGGAAAGCAGCATATTATAAAAGTATCACGTCTCTGGGGCTGGCTCTGATTCTCTGGTCCTAGTCATCAAATGACTGAGAACCGGTGTGCAATTACAAGGTCCAATTCCACAGTGCAGGCCAAGGCCACACCCCTCAGCCACCATCTCCTTGCCCAGCACCGTGGGTAGATACAGACTTTGTCTTGGTGACCGTGGAATTCCAACCGCTAGTGCATTGCAATGTCAATTCATTTCAACATTACCTATTGACTGACAGACACCTTACCGATGACAGATAAGCATCTCCACCCTTCTCGAGCTTGATAGCTGCATTGATCCCTCTTTTTTCCCTCCAGTACTGGAGATCAAACCCAGTGCTTTATGCATGCCAGGAGATTGCTCTAACACCGGGCGTTCTCTCCTGCCTGTCTCAAATTAAAGTTGAGCCGGCTAGCCTTCAACTTTGGCCTCCTACCTTAGGACTGCCCCTGAATAAATTCTCGACAAATCATCCGGAGTCAGCTGGAGGAAGGGCTCTGGTTTCCCCTCAGTATGAAATATCAGTGTTTAGCAGTTTTCAGTGGTGAGATGGCTCAGTCTACCGGAGAAGTATTTATTTGTATTTATGCGTGTGGAGGTGTGGGTACATGCACGTGACTGCAGGCCCCGCCTGCTGGGGGGAGTCAGATCACCCGGAACTGGAGTTTCAGTTAGACGTGAGACCCTGGACATGGGTGCTGGAAACCGAACTCGGGTCTTCCCGGGGGTGGGGGTGGGGCATGCTCTTATAACTGCTCAGCCATCTCTTCAGCCCCTCTCCACTGCATTTTTTAACTGATGTAATAGAAACTACATCCGGGCTTTGTGGACAGCGCCACTTTCTTCTGCAGAGAAGAGACATTCGTTTTTAGCAAGTCTTATTTTCAATACTCCTTCCTATCCCTGCCGGGGAAAATGTCCAAGGGGGTGTGGTAAATAAAACGCGGGTCCAGGAGCCCTGCTGGTGCCCGCGGGAAGGCTCAGTGAGATATCCTTGGCAACCGCTAGAGGGAGACGAGAGCCGGAGATGAGTGGCTGCTGAGCCCCGCGGTGCATCCTAGCCCTGGCTCAGCAACCGTGGTACATTTAGAACGCTCTCGAAACCAAACAGGTCAAACACATAGTAAATCAAGAGTCTGCCACATAGAATATGGAGGTTCAATTAAAAGCGGATTTCAGAAAACCAACAAATATCAAGACCAAGGTAGTTGGTTTTGCTTTTGGGGTTTTTTTTTTTTTTGTTTGTTTGTTTTGTTTTTCCCTGAAATTTATATTTAAGTAAGATTCAAGTCAAGAGTGCCGCACCTTTTTTTGGGAGAACCTGGCGGCTGTAATCACAATCGAGCGGCCCTGGAAGCATGAAAACACCGTTAGAGCAGAGGAGGCAAGGCAGTATTTAAACCTGTTAACCTGTTCGGTGAAACTAGAACAAAATATTTGCATGTGCTGCGTACCCGAGGAGACCATTCTCTTCCCCGAGGGGAAGCTGCTGTGCCGCTAGTGTGTCCTCGGCCAGAAGCGCGATAGAAAGCCCTGCTCCTTGAACCACTCTCTCTCCGTTACTTCCTCCAAGGTCACTCTGCACCTTTCTGTGTACAAGCATTCCCTCCGCAGAAGGGAAGACCCGCAGTGCACACATTCTTGCCAGTTAACTCGGCCAGCAGGATTGCGTGGCAGCGTGTTGGCCACGAGTTACAAACTAGAAACGTAGGTTAAAAGCCCAGTTGAGGTTTGGAGAAACGGCCCTTAGTAAGTTAAGAGCATTTTCTGTTCTTAAAGAAGATCCCATGAACCCACATCCAGCTGCTCACAACCACTTGTAACTTCAGTTCCAGGGGATTAAACTAGCCTGTTTTGACCCCCTCTGCCACCCGCCAGGAGATGGTACATTTAGTACACTAGGCACGCACAGATGAACATAAAAAAATAAAGAAATCCTTTTTTTAAAATTAACAAATACAAAAGCCAAGGTTGAGAGACAATAGAAGATGTAAAGAGACATCAAGACAGGAGTTAGGGCCACAGGACAAAAAGGAAGGGATGCCATCAGCGCATCCGTGGTTTTCAATACTGCCCCAGCCTGGAGCTGTGGGGAGGTGTGGAAGGTTCATTGGCTCCCAGTTAAATGGCTTCCAGGCTGCCTGTCTTTGCTCTTCCAGCTTTAGGGGCGTTTTTATTTCTGTTATTCAGGACAGGGTTCTGATGTCCCTTGGCTCTTGTCAAGATGGCAGTCAGTAATCCCAGGGACCTGTGTTCAGCTGTCACCAAAGGTATGTACAACTCAGCAAAGTCCTTAGGACGAATATCCCAGGAAGCCCACAGCATGAGGCTTGCCACCTTTTTATTTCTTTTCTTTTCTTTTTTTTTTTTTAAATTATGTGGAAGGTTTCCAGTCGCTGGCATAGGCTGCCCAACTGCTGAGGGCGAATTTCAATTGTGACCTTGAGGGACACTGTGCTTTCCTCCAGCTCTGGCTTGTTGATGACGTTAACAATTTAATTTAATATTAAATTAAATCAGCAGGGGGCACAATTTCTTCATGGTTCCTTTTGATTAGAAGAAAAACACTTAAGCTGGTTTCTTTGTGCTGTTTTGAATTGGTTTTTGCTTTTGTTTTTTTTTTTGGGGTTTTTTTTTCTTTTTACTGATAATCCAGATATCAAAGTGTCACCCACGAATTCATTTCCCTCAGAAAATGGCAATGCAAGCCCTTCCAAAAGGGAGCTGGCACATTTTCATGGAGCGCCCTGCTAATTGCAGGATTGCTGCAGCGATGATTTTTCCTTTTTAAAAAATGGTCACGAGGTAGGTGTAAATCAAAGCACAATGGTGAGACATATCACCCTTGTTTATTTAGAGTTTCTCCTCAGAACTGCCAGTCTGATGGCGGCTCCCATTTTGCGGGCATCTAGAAAACATGTGGAACGATTGCATCCACCCAATCATCAGGGGCTGTGTTTACAGCTCTCTTCTGCATCTTTGAAGAGTTTGCACACTCCCACCACCTCACAGCTTAATGATTACACTCTGTGTGACCTTGCATCTAGCTTTTTCTGCAGGGCCTGAGCCAGTGCTCAGCCTGGCTATCTGGGATTATTAACTTTATTTCTCTTGGAATTTCTTTTATTACCTTCAAAACCAAAAGAGTTTACGAATATCAAAAAGATTTGGCAAGTTTTATAACTGGAGTGTTGCCAGTAGCTCTTTAAGTTGTTATTAAAGACAGCATTACCAGCAGCTTACGGTAATATAGACTGGATCTTGCTTAGGCTAGCTCCCTTCGTACACTCACTGAATTCCTTGCATAAAGAAATTAAGAATCATGCTTAAATCATATGTACTGGCTCTAACTTGTAATCCCCGTGCACAGCCTGGTCTGGCCGTCACTAAAGGAACCCATTTCCAAATATTTAAGTAAATAAATAATAAATAAATTTACCTAAATTCACAGATGCAGTAAAGGAGAAACAATGATACCCCAAACTTGTAATCTAGCTTTAGTAGCTACATATAAGAAACAAGACTGTAATTTTAATGTAACTTTAAATAAGTAATAGTTCACAGATTTTAATTATTTTCAACCCACTTGTCTTCATTCTCAGTTGATATACAATTGCACCCATGTCTGGGATTCAGTATGATACATTAATAACTATATACGGGGTGTGAGGATCAGTTCCAGGCAGTCAGTATCTCTCTCGTGTCTAGCACTTATCATTGCATGCGGTGGGAAGATCAACAATTTTATGCACTAGCTTTTTGTTGTTGCTGTTTTTCAAATGGGTTTTTGAGAGTTTTTTTGGTTTGTTTGGTTTTCCCAGGCAGAGTTCTTCCGTGTAGTTTTGGTGCCTGTCCTGGATCTCCCTCTGTAGACCAGGCTGGCCTCGAACTCACAGAGATCCACCTGGCTCTGTCTCCCGAGCACTGAGATTAAAGGCGTGCACCGCCACTGCCCCGTTTGGTTTTTTTTTTTTTTAATTTAACTTCTTTATTGATTCTTTGTGAGTTTCACCACATCATACACCGCAACTCCGCTCACCTTCCAGTCCCCCCATATCCTCCCCTCACCCCTGCAGCACTGCCCCACAAAAGAAAACAAAACAAAGTAAGCAAGTGAACAGTCAAAAACAAGAATAAAACAAAATGAAAAAAACCTCTTCACTTCTCCATCTTTCCCGCCTCTCCAACACCTCTTCATTCATCCTGGTGGCGTCGGGAGCTGTGGGGTGTCACACAGTGTACCCTTTTTTTCCATCAGCTTTACTAGCAAATGTCCATTGCGATGAGACACTGGTCTGGTTCAAGGCCTCTGGTTTCTGGTACACCATCATCTCCGGTTCTTCACTGGAACTCCTCTGGGATATCCTATTGTGCCCAGAGTCTTGGAGATCCTACAGGTATTGTTCCACAGGATGAGTCCCTTCAAGAACTCCAGCAGGTCCTAGATGGGGTAGGTGTTAGGGTGAGCCAATCCACGGCCCAGCTGTGGGCCTGAGTGGTAGCTGAGCTGGTCAGTGCATGCCCTCAGGATTGGTTCATCCTTGCCTGTGGTGAGGGGTGGGGCCATCTCTCCTGAGTGCAGGGGCCAGGTCTCTTGTGAGGATTGGGGCCAGCTCTCTTGCTGTAGTGTCCAGTGAGAGGCAAGGCCAGCTTTCCCAGGGCCAGCAAAGGGCAGGCTGGCTCAGCCTGAATCTCTGATGTCATCTCAAATCGTTCCTAAGGTCCCCTGAGGTGACACGGGCCACAGACATCAACACAGACTGCAGCTGGACCACAGACCCAGACATGGCCCTTGGTAGCAGCTTGGGCCCTGACGACATCCTGGCTCTGGGTGGAAGCACTGGCCACTCAGATCTGGATGGTTCTGGTGGCTACATGTCAGGTCTCGGGTTGCAGCCCCAACCCTAGGCTTCTATGTGACCTTTAGTGGCAACTCAGGACGTGGACTTCAGCATCAACCCCAGCCTCGGTAGGACCATGGACCCATGGTCCTCTGCAGCAGCTGGGTCTGGATGTCACCACTGCCCCAGGTGGCAGTGCAGGCCACTAGATAGGCAGCAGCCCCAGTGGTAGTATGGCCCTCAGACACCAACATCGCCCCCCTCCCCATCTCAGGTGTCTGCACGGCCTTTGATGGTAATAGGATCCTCAGACATCAGCATAGACCCAGCTGCAGTAAGGCCCCGGACCCTGACCTTGCCCTCAGCTGCAGCTCTGGCCCAGACATCACCATGGCATTGAATACCATCACAGGACACTCAGATCTGCATGCACCCCGTGGTCCTCGGTGGCAACAGGAGCCACATACATCAATCCAGACCTTGGCCACTAGAGGGCCACAGACCCAGACATGTCCCTCAGAAGCAGCCTGAGCCTGGATGACACCATGGCCAGGCCACCCAGATCTGTATGACCCTTGCTGTGGCATGGCCCTCAGACTCCAACCAGGCCACAAGCTCCAGCCCAGATCCCGGGGCTCTGTGTGGGCCCTAGTGGCAAGCTGGGTCACAGACTTCAACACAGACCCCAGGGGCAGCTGGGCCACTAACTACTTTTGAAGTGTCCATTTAATTGTCACCCATGATCTGTGTAGTACAGAATAGTAAGTTATTCATCCTACCCAACTACAACCCAGTGTTTATTAATTTTTCCCTCTCTACTCTCCCCTGCTCTTCCAGGGCTCTGGCAACTCTTGTCCCACCCTCTACGTTTAACGAGGTCTATGTTTTTAGATTCCACATGAATCAGAACATTCAGTATCTCCCTTTCTGTGCCCGACTTCCTTTTCTTAGCACTGTGTCCTCTGGGTTCATCCAAACAGCAACCAGCAACAGGAGGACCGGGCTCGTTCCTTTCTGTGGGTACGAACAGCATCCCATTGTAAACACACGCTTCATTTCCTCCATCCAGTACCTGCCAGTCACCCCTCCCATTGATTCCAAGTCAAGCCTGCTGGATTATATAGAAGTTTTAGTTTCGTTTCCTGATGGACCTTCATACCACTTTCTTGCACTAATTTTTGTTCCCACCAGCATCCTGTGAGAGTTCTCCCTTCTTTACATCTTGGCCTGCATTTGTTACTCTTTGTCTTTTAAAAAAAAAAAATGTGTCTGGGTAGTTTGCCTACATGTATGTCTGTAGCATGTGTATACAGTGCCTGTGGAAACCATAAGAGGGCTTCAGATCCTCTGGAACTGGAGTTACAGACCGTTGTGAATGACCTGGGTGCTGAGGACTGAACCCAGGTCCTCTGCAAGAGCATCAAGTGCTCTTAGCCACTGAGTCATCTCCCTAGCCTCCTAGTCTTTGTCCTTTTGACTATAGGCATTCTAACTGGGGAGGGAGATACTTCACAGTGGCTTTGATTTTTATTTCCCTGATGGTTAAGGCTGCTGAGCATTTGTTCATATATTTATTGTCATCTATAAATCTTTTAAGACTAATCTTCAGATTATTTGCCCGTTTCATTCAGATTATCTGGGCCTTTCATGTTTATCAGTGGAGTTGCTTGAAGTCTTGTACATTGTGAATATTCATTCCTTGTGAGATGAATAGTTTGCAAACACCTTCTAGTCTACAAACTATTTCTTAACTCTGTTTTGGCCTTTGATATATAGAAATGCATTAAAATTTTCTGACACTTTTATTAATTATTTATTGATTTGTGTGTATGTGCGTGCGTGCGTGCGTGCGTGCGTGCGTGTGTGTGTGTGGTTGTGGGCATGTGCTACAGTGGCACATATATGGGAATCAGCAGACAACTGGCAGGTCTTGGTTCTCTCTTTCCTTATTGGTTCCAGGATCAAACCCAGATTGTCAGGGCCTACCTCAGCGCATCATATAACGCTGAGCCATCTCTCCAGCTCTGAGCTCTTTAGTTTTTCAGTTTTGCTTTTGTTGACTGGGTTTGGGAAATCATATATATGTGTATCTATCTATCTATCTATCTATCTATCTATCTATCTATCTATCTATCTATCTATCTATCTATCTATTTTTTGAGACAGCGTTTCTCTGTGAAACAGTCTTGGCTGTACTGGAACTCACAGAGATCTGCCTGCCTTCCAAGTGCTGGGATTAAAGGCCTGTATCACCACCATTTGGCTCTTCTTCTTCTCCTCCTCCTCCTCCTCCTCCTCCCTCTCCTCCCTCTTCCCCTCCTCCTCCTCCATTCTTCTTCTTTTTAAAATTCTATTCTGGATTCATCTTTGATCATTTATGTTTGGGCTTCCTGATCTTTCTCAGAAGAAGCATTACTCCTGTGCTCTTTTAGGATAGTCATAGTTTGGAGTCTTACATTGCAGTGTTTGCTTTGGGGTTGATTCTTTTTTGTTTGATGAGAGGGAGCTGTCTGGTCTATCTCCTCGACCTATGGACACCCAGTTTTCCCAATACTGTTTGTTGAAGAGATTTTCCTTACTCCAGCTGTCTGTAGACACGTAGGTTTACTCTCTATTCTGTTTGGTTTAATGCCAGTGCCATGTTATTTTAGCTACTAGAGCTTCGTTGTGTATTTTAAAGTCAGGTGTTGTGATGCCTAGGTTTTGTTCTTTCTGCTCTGAATTTTTTGTTGTTGTAATTTAGGGGCAATTGTGGTTCCATATGAATTTTAAGAGAAATTTTTTCTCTTTTTCTGCTTCTTGAGGAATGTTACTGGCATATTTATATGAGAACTGTACTGAATCTGTTGACTGCTATGGGGAGATGGACATTTAACAATATTAATTCTAATTGTAATGTGATATCTTAATTATTTCTGCATCTTGTTCAATATATTTCATTAATGCTTTGCAGTTTTCATACTAGAACACATTTACAACCTTGTTCCAGTTATCCCAGGTATTTCATCTCATTGTAGCTATGGTGAATGGAATTGCTTTCTTGATTTCTTTTATAGCTAGTTCATTATTGATGTATAAAAACCCCACTGGCTTTCGTATACTCATCTTGTATTTTGTAACTTTTTTTGTTCTAATGATTTTTTAATC